AGTAATAATAACATTCCGTTTGGTGCTAAACTGCGCTAGATTAAGGAAGTCTAAGTGCGGGTTGTGCTTAATAGGCCGGAAATGGGGTAGTTAACCCTACCTCGAAAAAGATTTTCCGAAGTTTCTCGGCTGAGGCCGGTCATAATAATTACCCGGGGCTCCACTATCAAAATTTGCGGTTGAAGACGTATTTTTTATCGAGTGGAAGACTGCTCCTTAATGTACATGGTATCAAAAATGCCTATCCTGATAAAGGGCTGAACACAATGACAGCGGCATAACGGTTAGCCGGTTAGCGCTAACCGTTGTACTTCCGCTGCATGCTATAGACCTTTTAGACGTTTAATCTAGTACACAGGGATGAATGGATGGTTTGTTTTCCCACTAATCTGTTTCCCTCTTCCTCGCACTCCTTCAATTTAAATGGTGCATTAGTGTGCGCCGATTAAACGTCAAAAAGCTCTATACGTAAACAAACCATGTGGGGGAAACGCTCCTATAGTACGTTAGAAGCGTTAGGTTCCTATAGTTGTGTATTGAGTCTCCATTCACAACTATAGGAACCTAGAAACACTGGAATAAGAGACCAGCGGAGAAAAAAAACATGAATTTGGCAACAAGATAAACATCAAAGCAATCCTGGCATCACTTGCATTTGTAACTGCTTGCGGGTGACTTCGCCAATGCACCGACGAGCGAGTTCATGAGTGATTGTTAAACGATTTTAATACTCCTCCCTAATTGAAGCAAACCATTTGTAAACATTTCAGATTGGAACTGCTTTTGACAGTTCGATTGGAATCATAACAGTGTCTCCGCTGGTCTCTTATTCCAGTGTTTCTATAGGAACCTAACGCTTCTAACTTACCGCAACTATAGGAGCGTTTCCTCTAAACAGAATTATTTTGATGAATTCGTTATTTGAATAATCTCTGATTTAGCTGACATAGTGAAGAAAGACCAGTAGAAGGGCTTCTGAAAAAACAATCAATCTCAATTCTTGTACTCATATCCAAGAGGCTACGAAATTTTCCGAAGTTCAGTGATCGTCTCTGAGTTTGCATTAACTACAAAAAAATGTGGGGGCACTTTGAAGAAGTACCTTGAACCGTGGGGAAATATCGAGTGTTTCGGATAAGAGTTATGAATATCAGGAAAGCTGCGGGAGCTTAAGGAAAGTTCCGTGAATTTTAGGGAAGTCCAGAGAACTCTAACTTATTGAGAAGTTCTGGGAAGTTCAGATATGTTTAGGGAAGCCCCGACTATCGGGAATGTTTAAAGATCTTCAAGAGAATATTCAGACAACTTCGTTCAGGAAAATCTTGAAAACTTCATCGAAGATCTAGAGTAGTTTTTATGAGAACTTCAGAGTAGTTCCGGCAAGAACTTCAAAGCAGTTCTGAGGAGTAGTTCTGAGTAGAACTTCAGAGTATTTCTGTGAAGAGTTTCAGAGTAGGTTCGAGGAGAACTTCAGAGTAGTTCTGCGGAGACCTTCAGAGTAGTTCTGAGGAGAACTTCAGAGTAGTCAGGGAAGTTCCGAGAACTCCGGAGAAGTCCCATTGGCCTCAGGAAAATTTTAGGAAATTTATTAAACTCCCCGGGAAGAGGAGTTTCAGTGTATTGGAAAATTTGCGCTATCATTGTGTTCAACCCTTAAATCCTGAACTTTTCACGGCGAATGAGAACGACCCAAATTTGAGTTTAGTTCATTCATAATCGCCAAAAGTGCAGGAACTCAGCGATTAGTAAATTTGTCTCATGGTTTCCTGTGGAAAATCTAAAAAATCTACCGAAAAATGAGGAAATTGACGAAAATTTTATTCAGTCTCGGAGTAGTACCAATAGACTGTGTGAATCCAATCTTTACTTTTCTCAAATTTGGGAATTTTTCCCTGGAAAATCCTTGGAAAACATGGGACAAATTTTACTCATCGCTGAGTTCCTGCACTTTTGGCGATTATGAGTGAACTAAACTCAAATTTGGGTCGTTCTCATTCGCCGTGTTGATATTTGCTTTGATATCTTCAAAACATACCCGGCAATGAATGTTTGCAATTTGATCAACAAATGATGTCTAAATCAAAACGAAAACATCGGACGCTATGTTGATTTTAAGATGCGTAGAAAAAATACTGTCCTTCACATTCCCCTGAATGGAGCATCCCAGAAAGTTCTCACTTCCCAGGCTACTTCTCATTCAACCAGGTTCGCCGTATAGATATCGGACGACGTGTGCTGTCGTACAGATCCGGATTCCTCGTTCGGTACTTGATGTTGGTCTACTGTCCGGAAACTCAATGTAGTCGTACTACCCCAGAGCAATCCAGGCCAGCTCCCTCGAGCAGCAGCAATGATGTAGCTGTCAAACGTTCCGGCTCCCGTGAGTGACAGATGTGCGGAGTGAGCGTAAGCGAGCCATCTCGCAATCGTACATCCGTCATCGCCCGGCAAAATTGCCACCTTCTGCTACTGCTGCTGCAACTACATAACCTATAACAGCAGAAACAGTGCAACGAAACAACTACCACCCAATGCCACGACGATTTCCTCACCTCAACGTGAAAGACAAGACAGAAAGGAAAAACACCAACTGAGACCAAACCCCCATCAGATAAGAGGAGAGACGGTTGGACGGTGGCAGGCGGCTGCAATTGCTCCAGATCTCCTTCCATTGCCGTTGTTGGTGTGGTCGTACAACTACCGCCGCGACCAAGTCTGCAATCAAGTCATTAATGTGGTTGGTTTGATAATGATAAATCATCTCAATGAAATTGAATTTCCCCTCGAGCCCCTCTCCATCCCTCCCCCTTTCGACCAGAGGATCGCACACCTGGGCTCGGAGACGATCACACGCAGTAGGTACCTACCGGTAATTATGCGATTTATTTACTATCGATCGACGATGACGCCGCCGGTCGTACGATGGGAGATCACCTATCTCAGTTGGTCGGTCGTCATTAACAACAAGCGTGTTCGATGTTTTTTTACACGGCTGCTTAGAAGAGACCACTTTCGCTGGTGTGTCGTCCGCTGCGCCGGAAAGTAGGCCAATTAAGTGATCCCAACCGAGCGATCGAAAGGAAGTGCAAGTAGCGGCCGCAGCAGCAACGACGCGTCACCTCGGTAACAAACGAGAGTCCGCGAGAGTGCCGATCAATGTCAAATTAGAGTTGACCTTTCACGATCCTCGAAGCGGCGGCGATCGGACAGGCATTTCTTTGTCCAAATTGGCTCCGGCAGGGGCCGTTATTTGCGCTTCAATTTCCGACGTAATTGAACTGTGCTTCGCACGAGGCGCGCACGGTAAGTACACACTTGGCGAGGATCCCAAATTGTAGGGTTGATCGCAGATATTTCGGATCCCTTTTGTTCGCGATGTTTCGATGCACCCCCTGCCGAGCGATGCCCGAGCATCATCTGTCAGTCGCAGGGATGCTGGATGATGACTCACGGTGAACTAGATGAGGCGCTAGTCTTATGCAATAGCCACCACAGTAGGCCATCGTCAAGGATGCGGTTACCATCGTGAGGCATCGGTCCAATCATAAATCAACCATCCCTCGCTGGCAGCCCTGGAAGTGAACGGTGTACGTACACATCTGTTGCGGGCAGGAGGAGGTCGTACCAGATTAATGGAGTTCTTGGCTGGCGCAGCACGATCGCGAGAGGCCCAGACATAAGAACAACACTTGCAGAAATAAACCGAAGATTGGGCTACGCGAGAGCGAGGGAGGCGTCGTAATTACCTCACTACTGACTGACTGACTAACTGACTGGCAGGCACTTGGCTTTAGCGGTAGCCAACTCGTGAGCAGCAGCATACATAGATCAAGAAATAGGTTGAAAGGAAATTGGTTGATTGCACGGTGGAGGTCAAACAGTAATTTTCGTATTCTCTAATTTTGCACCCCACCGCCCACACCCGGCCTGAACCGAACCAGGTGGCGTTGTGTGAGCGGACCTGAGTGCGTGCGCCGTGCAAGCCAAGAATGATGGATCTTCGACCGTGACGGAGCAGAATTTCTTGCTTTCTCGCTAGTTGTTGGCCGAATTGATTGGATGTGTTGCTAGTTTGCTCTTTCTCTTTGACAGGCCGCGATGGTTGTAACCCAAATTCGCTGATTGGCTATTAGGCCGAGAGGTGGTGTTTACGTTTTGACGGGATCCCGTTAGGGTGATTACGATCAGGAAGACGTTTCAAGATTAGCCTTGAGAGTTTTCAAAATTGTGATCTCCGACCGCAGCTGTCCGCCCGGGGGCTTGCCCAGCATAGATGTTTACCTACAATTACAAAGTCATTACACTGTTAGTATCCTGCGGGGAGCAGACCCGCCACAGTCTTCAACACGACGCGTAAGCACACCAAGGGGTGTGATTAATTATGCATTCATAAACTTATACTTCCTTCTCAATCCGCTCGTTACTCGCTTAACTCGCTGTAAAGTAATAGTATATTGTAGCCATTTTATTGGACGCGCTCGCTGTTGTTGATCTTTCAATCTCGGATCGTTGGTGATGCAGGATGGTACCCAGCTGCTGCTGTTGCTTTCAGATCTATATCGAATCGTGGTGGCCTTTTGATGCTCTTCACCCGGGTGTGCACGAGCTTTGCAATTAATCAAGCTTTGTACCGTGGACGGACGGGGCGAAAGTCCACTCCTCTGTCCGATTGACTGACACCCGATCCTGATGGATCGTAGACGAGCTGAGGTTGCAACATAATCATTTCCCGCAAAGGTCACCGTCACCACCGCTACACTTGGGAGTGTCCGACTCAGCTCGGTAAGATCATTCTAATTAATGCCGAGCCTTGGACGACCGCGGAAGGACAATCGTGGTCCCACTGAGCCGGTTAATTGTTTTCCAGATTTGATTGAGGTTGGGGCGGGGTCCGATAAAACCTGTTGATGACTTACTTGCAGGCAGCTGTTCGTACATTTATTCCTCGAGTGTCGACATACTAATGACTGAATTTATCTCCTATTCTTATTTACTTGCAGACTGGACACATCTCGGACGACCAGGAAACATTCGAAATGCAATCGATGCGAACGCGTAGCCGAGTAGTACGATCAGGTGAGTTGAGAATATTGCTCTGAGTTGTCGACGTGACGGACACGGCAGATGTTTATTATCCAAGTCGTTGATTCTATTGACGACGCCACTGTTCATGGGTGATGTGAAACGGGAAGAGAAACTGGCAGCACTGCTGCGAAAAACGAAAATAAAACACTATGTCATTTGTTACTACATGTTCGATTCATTAAAAGTAAACAGTAAACGTTATTGTGCATGTGAAACAAGAGGCGTATAGTCTCTACACGATTCGTGCGATTGAGACGAGAAAAAGTGAACCAAAATAAACAAAAAGTGCTCAAGATGTATACACTAGAGGAAAAGTGAATTGTTAGTGAAGTAAAGGAAAATATCATTACAGTTAAGAAAGAATATCAAACAACAAGATAAGTCAGAGACTAGGGGTGTCTCCAAGGGGGAATCAACTCTGCACACTGTGCTGAAACAGTATGACACGCTGTTCGGCACGTTAAGGTACACGCTGATACGTATGACACGAACAATATTATATAAAACGGCAACACTGTTGATCGTTGAAGTTTTTCTAATCGATTTACCCGTTGGTAAGGGTTGCTTACTCCAAATGAAAATATCCGTCAATACTGGTGTAACAGTGATTAATCCTATTATTCCTGCTGTGACCGGTCCTCAAACGCGACGCTATCTTCTGATCCCACTGGTTCAACGGTTCTGTCCACTTCCTCGCCGTCCCTTTGATCCGTCTGATGAAGAGGGAGCGGTTTTGGGCCCACTCCGCGTCCCAAGCTTCCCATACTTTGCTCACGATCCAGCGCTTGACATCGTGTAACGGTACTTCGTTGGTATAGCGAGGGGCAGATGTCCCTGCCCCAGCCAGAAAGTCAGCTTCAGAGTTGCCTGGTATTCCGCAGTGCCCTGGAACCCAGCAACAACACCATCATCATCAGCATTATCAACGTGATTGATAATAACCTAACCATTAATTAGGAAGCAAATTTAGGAAAAAATAACATTCGTTTCCGTTTTTCAATGAACCATCCATGAGAGCTTGATGTTGTAAGCAAACAATCTCAAAAGCCATAACTACAGGGTTGCCAAACTCATGGGGTACTGAGACCGACAGCTTGATTGCCATAATGCGGCACTTTCGGCGCAACACTGGGCACAGCGTTCCTCACAGATTGAGATGTGCAGAGTTGAGTACCCCTTGGGTGTCTCACTATTAGAATGCCCATTGCATATGAATTTAATTTAAAAAAAATGCAATTAATTTCCAATGTTTACATCCCATCAGTGGGATGTGAACGTCGAAACAAAGCATGCGTATTTTCGTTGACACCTATTCTTCAATACACTACATGTAAATATTTACACGATTGACAAATCTCAGACATCATGACATATTGATCTTTGAAAAAATAAAGAGACCTACCTTCCGGTGGAAACTAACGATTTTAAATTAGCTCACTACTTGACTAGCCCAGTGGTCCCAAGCAAATCGATTAACGTTCCCCATTCTAGTCGAAATTCTAGTACTACACTATGTTTGTTTTGATTAAAATGAGGGGTTCGTGGATTTTCCTATGTTTCGAGGGGTGCATCGATTAGCTTGGGACCGAAGATAGTACCAGAGCTGAGCCAAAAAGTTAAACGATTTGCTTGGGACCAATAGGCTAGTCAAGTAGTTAGCCAATTTAAAATCGTTGTTTCCACCGGTTGATACTATGCTTACTAGCAACCATATCCTTGACCATAACAAAACGAAACCCCTGCGTCTCTTTCGCTGTTGTTTGCTTAATGCAAAAAAGTACATCTGTTGGGAGGATTATTTGGAGCAAATACGACCGCAGCCCGGGGCACCGGCATTTAGAATGGGCTTCTGCGTCAGCAGTTGCAGCAGCAGCAGCATCATAGTTTCCTAATCGTTATGCAACTGCAGAGATTAAATACTAGTAAGCTGGTGGCTTCCGTTCTGGGTAACGTGCCCGAATATGAGACCTCACTGCAGGAGGAAGACGAACGGCCACGTGCCACCCGGAAAGGAGGACCAAGCAATGGGTGCAATCCTACCTGCAGTAGAAAGTAGAATTCCGGTCGGCAGCAATAATTACAACTCCAAGGGCAGATGCAATCTGTCGTGATATGGGAGTAAACTTTGTGAAAACCGGAAATGGAACATCTAACAAAATTATGATAGATTTTGAACGTTAATACCTCAGCTGCCCCTAGACCAATTTCAATAATTTTATCACCAATCAATCAGAAATATTTCTTCGCATCTGTTAAATTTAAACTTTGTCATTTTTCAAAATGTCACTTTTAAAAATTGCACGAATCTGTAACTGTTGCTATGATAGTTAAAATTATCACCGATTGCCTGCGAAAAGCGCATTCCCTAACACAGATTTCAAAGTCGAATTGCATCCGGTCTCATCGAACGGTGTTTATTCAATCACCGCGTGTGGTGAGTGGTGGTGTTCTCCAGTACACAACGAAAGGTTCCCCACCAAGCAGCTAGCTATCAAGGCTGCCCTCAACCGCTTATGCTCGTCGTAAACCATTGTAGGCGTGCCACCCTCGTTCCAAACAACATATAGCTCGCCAGTCGCATCCGTGTTGAATACCCTAATAGCTCAGCATTACTCCTGAGTGGTGCGAAGTGAAATTTTCTTCATGTTGGTAGTGTTGAAATAAACGTTTCATCACCGTCGGTTGGTAGAGAGAAGTGTCAAACGGCTTTTTGTGCAGAGCCGATTCGTGACTTTGTGATTGTTTGTTGACATTGTTCATAGCTGGAGTTTTTACGGAGTGGAATAAAATTCAGAATGAAGTGTTTTGCTCACTTTTGCAATTATAAAGATGGACACGACGAAAAGCGAAGCCTATTCAGGTTTCCCAAGGATTCAGCAGTACGAAAAGAGTGGCTCAGTTTCTGTGATGGGGGGGGGGGGGGGAAGTCAAGAAAGAATAAAACCCTGACACATCCTCTACCTGACTTGCAATCAAACATAGTAATTTTTATTTGTATAAATTGTTGCAAATCAGATGCAAATTTAATGTGGCCGACGATATCTATGGAAGTGCTGTCGAAATTCCCTGGGACCTCCAATGGCAACGATTTGACTTCCCTCCAAATCGTGTGAAATTCGAACATGAAAACTCTATAGAACCCCCGTAGAACCTCGCTGGCAGCAACTAAAATATCCACTGAAACCTCTTCTGTCGCGGGAAAAATCTGTTTTGAATTTCCTGGAACTTTTGTACTATCATCACAAATCTCCTTAGAACGTTCTCCGAAGTCACAGTCGTTCCTGAGCGAAAAAAAATCGGAGGTGTTTTTTTCAGCGCAGGAGTCTACTTTGGTCCAAAATACGCAATAATACTGTTATTTTCAATTGAGTCGTTTCGAATCACGTTTTTAAAAAGATCAAAAACATTACTGAAAAATATTTATTTTTTATTTTGGACGATAACAATACTTCTATCTATTTCAACGAACCACAATGATAAAAAAGTGGTTCGATTTGACAGCTCGAAAGTGGTTCGATTTTGAGGTCCGTCTTCGCACCACTCAGCATTACTCTACCATCACGACAAAACGATTTTTTTAGGAACACCATCAATTATTGATGCTTAAGAGTTAATTTTCATTGAACATTCGCTCGTCTTGCTGCCAGCCACATCACCCCCAAAACTTTTTGATAATGTACCCAGCAACCAAACGTTTATGGTCAAATGCGTCAAGTATTGAAGTGGGACATAAAAATTATCGCAATGACCGAATACCACATGACCATGTCAAATAATCAGAAACACTTAAAATTTTAGCAAGAAATACCTCCAATCAATTTGCTTTTTTCGTAGGACTACGTCTGTGATTTCTATGTGGGGATACACTGTGTGGAAACCAACGAACATGTAACGAAATTATGAAAGATTTTGAACGTTAATAACTCAGCTGCCCCAGGACCAATTTCAATAATTTTATCATCAGTCGATCCGAAATATTTTCAACAAGAAACTATTGGAAAAGTGATAATTGTCAAGCAAAAGCGTTAAAATAACTAACAAATCCACCAATTACGTACATGCATATGCTGCTTCCCCAACACGGTCATCAGAGAGTCGTTTGTAGACGAAACATGTCGAAGTGGCATTCGCCTTCGATCTTCGGGCGTGTGCGAATAGGGAGGATAATTGCGTAACATTTTGCACACTCATCGCCATCTTCAGAACCACACACCCCCATCGACCACACACAAAATGCTTTTCAGAGTTGTAATCCTGTAACCAAACTTGGAAGCAGGGGTGCCAGTGATTTTGATCGATTCTCTTCATCGACTTTCTGTTTCGTTAATAACTCGACGGCAAACACATTCATTGATACGTTTGTTGTTCTGGATGATAGAAGAGCATAGCAGAAATAGGTTAGTGAAGCCATGGTCATCAAAAGAGGAAATCGATTAATTCATTAATTCAGTCATCGCCATAGCAATGAAAACTAGCATCGCACCGCTTTTGGTTCTTGGGTTACACTTGCTGGTTGCAGTTCTGCTGTTCGACATTTTCGAAGGACCACCAATAAGATGAAATTACACTATTGTCTAGGGATGCCCAAAAGTCCAATTATTCGATTAACGATGAATCGTAAAAAAATTCCAGCTATTCGATTCAATATTTATCGAATTTCTCTTAAGGTCTACGGACTTCTCTGATGTTCTTCGGACTTCTATTTCCAACTTCCATGGAGTTTTGCAAAATCTTGGACTTGCGTACTTCACTGCGATTTGTTTTTGGAATTACGATTTTTTTCCTGAAGATATCACATTTTTCTGAAACTCTGATGCTTTCTGAACCACTGAATGTCTCCTAAGATCTGCAAAATTTCTAGCAATTCTACAGATTTTTCTTAATATCTACTCTACTGAAGTTATGCAAATATTTTTGAAGTTCTGTAAAGTTGTCTGAAGCTCCGTAGTTATATTCTCAAGATCTGCGAAAAAAAAGCTTGAGGTTCAATA